GTTACCAACATCTGGTGAAAATTTCATGTCATTAGCACCTCTAGTAATATATTTACTGAGAAAAATGGTGACGTGTTCAATACTTATTTTACCCGCTGTAATTACAAATTAACTGGACAGTCCTCAACCCCCTTTTACTTCCTCTTATAATGTTTGATCATATCTAGTTCCTCCTTTCAAAATAAAACTCTTCTATTTTTTTACTTACCGTTCGTGTTGTTTCCACCCCAGAAATCTGAACAGACACAATATCTTTTAAATTAACTTTTGTGTTTGTTGTTTAAAGTCGATCAGCTGTAGATGTAAACTAGCAAGCTYGTTAAAACTCTTGCACAAATATCARTCCGTAACAAAATTTAAAAAACGTAATATTTTCCATCCTTGTGTGACACCCTCTTCAGCTTGTACTTTGTTGCATCATTGTCTTCTTTAAATAATTGCCTCAGAGCGAATGATAGAGGAAGTACAAATAATGACTGTTAAGAAACTTTGACAAAAACTGAACCTATGWCTCTTTCTGTTTCTTGAAAAACTCRGAAAAAAATCAGTTAGGYATTTATTTGAAGTAGGTGACGATATTGAAGATGTAAAGTTATTTTTTTATTTTAAATGCTTTGAATCAGAGAACAAAAAAATCTAAAGTGCACAGACATAATTTCACAACATTGTTATTTAGAGAAGTGCAACAACTTCCCTTCTTTACGGGATGCTGAGCARTCTTATTACAGGCAAGAGAAGCACTTCGGTTAGACGGTCACAGAGCGGCTGAAAGCTGGAATTTTCCTTTATTTAAAATTTATTTCTACAGATACAAGGCAACCTCTGGTAAGAATTCATAGATTTCACTGAGTTTTTTTCTTTTTGTCATGTTTTAAGATGCAACAATTTTATAAAATCAGAGAATTTACCTGTATTTCTCCCCACAGGGGATTAAATCAATCATGTGGGTGAAATTTATGATCAACATCTTGTTACTGAGTGTTCTTTTTAAATCTGGTAAGTTGTCTCAGTTTAGCTGTTTACCATCTTTAGTATTTGTGTAAATAAGGTTTTACACTGAAGCTATTGGTGGTAGAAATAAAGAACCAGCGTATGACAGCTGGAGTTAATGATTTTKTCATTTTCTTATTTTAATTAAATTCTAACTCTGGTTTTACAGGCACTTTACAGGATGGTTGTCGTGATATAATTCTCTTCATGAATTCACCAAAAACCCTGCAGGGTCTGAGTGGATCTTGTTTACACATCCCGTGTAGCTTCAGTGCTAAGAGAAGTAACTCAGTTGAGTTTGATGGTAAAAGAAAAGTTGTTGGAGTGTGGATCAAGGACAACCAATGGGAAATAGAAAATACAGTTTACAACAGCAGTAAATCAGTTAACATCTATCCAATGAATATAACTGGAGACCTGAGTCAGAAAAACTGCACCACTTTGTTTTCTAACCTCACCCAGAGTTATACAAACAGTTACTACTTCAGAGTTGAGAATGATCCATTAAAAGCAACAGCTGGTTGTGATTCTCTTCAAATTAATGTGAGAGGTGAGAAACTTTATGTTAATATCTGTATGACTGTAACTGAAAACTTTATACATCCTGACGTTGTTAAAAGTCAAGTCAGTTATTAATGCATGAAATTCAAGTTTTAATATACAGTACAGTAGCTTGCAAAAGTATTCACACCCCTTGAACTTTTCCATATTTTGTCACACTATAGCCACTAACACATATATTGAATTTATTGTGAAAGACCAACACAGAGAGGTATACAATGTGAAGTGGAAAAAAATATATATATATGCATGATTCAAAATATTTTTTACAACAGAAAAGTGTGGTGTGCAAAAGTATAATACTTTGTGGAACCACACTTTGCTGCAATTCCACCTGAAAGTCTTTTAGGGTATGTCTCCACMAGCTTTGCACATCTAGTGTCTGAAAGTTTTGCAAAACAGTTCAAGTTCAGCCAGATTAGATCTTGCCACTAATTCTGGATTGGGTTAGGTCTGGATTTTGATGGGCCATTCCAACACATTAATATGTTTGGTTTTAAACCATTCCATTGTAGCTCTGGCTTAATTGTCCTGCTGGAAGGTGAAGCTCCGCCCCAGTCTCAAGTCTTTTGCAGACTCCAACAGGTTTTCTTCTGAGCTTGCCCTGTACTTGGCTCCATCCATCTTTCCATTAACTCTGAACATCTTCCCTGTCCCTKCTGAAGAGAAGCACCTCCAGATCATGATGCTGCCACCACTACGTTTGACAGTGGGGATAGTGTGTTCAGAAAGAGTAATTCTCTAACACGCATAGCGTTTTGCATTTTGGCCAAAACGACCAATTTTGGTGTCATCCAACCAGAACACCTTGAACATTGCTGTATCCCCCACATGGTTTACTGTATTGTGGTTTTCTTCTAACAAAGGTTTCTTACTGCCACTCTTCCATAAAGAGCACATTTGTGCAGAGCATGACTAATAGCTGTCCTGTGGACAGATTCTCCCACCTGACCTGTGGATCTCTGCATTTTGTCACCAGAGTTACCATGGGCCTATGGGCTGCATCTCTGATTAGTGCTCTCCTTGGTAGGTTTAGGTGGATGGCGTTGTCTTAGTAGGTTTAGGTAGAAGGCATTGTCTTGGTAGATTTAGGTGGATGACCTTGTCTTGGTAGAATTATGTGGATGGCCTTGTCTTGGTAGGTTTAGGTGGACGGTGTTGTCTTGGTAGGTTTAGGTGGACAGCCTAGTCTTGGTAGGTTTAAGTGGATGGCCTTGTCTTAGTAGGTGTAGGTAGATGGCCTTGTCTTGGTAGGTTTAGGTGGATGGCCTTGTCTTGGTAGGTTTAGGTGGACGGCCTAGTCTTGGTAGGTTTATGTGGACGGCCTAGTCTTGGTAGGTTTAGGTGGACAGCGTTGTCTTGGTAGGTTTAGGTGGATGGCCTTGTCTTGGTAGGTTTATGTGGACGGCCTTGTCTTGGTAGGTTTAGGTGGATGGCCTTGTCTTGGTGGAATTATGTGGATGGCCTTGTCTTGTTAGGTTTAGGTGGATGGCCTTGTCTTGGTGGAATTATGTGGATGGCCTTGTCTTGTTAGGTTTAGGTGGATGGCGTTGTCTTAGTAGGTTTATGTGGATGGCGTTGTCTTGGTGGAATTATGTGGATGGCCTTGTCTTGTTAGGTTTAGGTGGATGGCGTTGTCTTAGTAGGTTTAGGTGGATGGCGTTGTCTTAGTAGGTTTATGTGGATGGCCTTGTATTGGTAAGTTTAGGTGGACAGCGTTGTATTGGTAGGTTTAGGTGGACAACTCAGAGTAGAGCCGCTGCTCCTCCACATCGAGAGGAGCCATTTTTTAAGGTGGCTTGGGCATCTGGTAAGGAAGCCTCCTGGACGCCTCCCTGGTGAGGTGTTCTGGGCACATCCCACTGGGAGGAGACCCAGATGAAGACCTGGGACTCGCTGGAGGGACTATGTTTCTCAACTGGCCTGGGAATACCTTGGGATTCTCCCAGAGGGGGTGGTCCAAGTGGCTGGAGAGAGGGAAGACTGGGTCTCTCTAGTTAGGCTGCTGCCCCCACGACCTGACCCTGGATAAGAGGAAGAAAATGGATGGATATAATGTGAAACAATATGGAAAATTTCAAGGAGTATGAATACTTTTGCAAGCCACTGTATTATCAGAGTTTTAGAGGTAGTTTTAAAGAATCTGCAGTCATCAGCATTCGTTTATTAATCCCAGATACTGCTTGGAGTCCCAGCATCAACATCTCAGGTGATGTGAAGGATCTGAAGGAGAAGGAGTCTGTCTCTATCAGCTGCTCAGCTTGGACTCCCTGTCCACTCTCACCTCCTGAACTCACCTGGAGTCTCCAACAAGACTCTCAGAGACAAACAGAGACAAACCCAGATGGAACCTTTACAAGTAAAATCCAGGAGAACACGACTCTGTCAGACACACATGATGAATCCAACATCACATGTTCTGTCAGATATCTTGGGAATGAAGGAAAACATAAAACTGCGCAAACAAATCTGACTCTCAGTGTTATCCTGTAAGTGACCCTGTCGGCTCGTGGTGCTTCAGCTGTTTCTGATCAATAAACTTCATGTGTGTCCTGTTTTCCTCAGATGCTCCTAAAGACACCTCAGCATCCATCAGTCCATCAGGTTTGGTGTCAGCAGGTAGCAGGGTGGAGCTGAGCTGCTCCAGCAGAGCCAAGCCTCATGTCAGAACCTTCACCTGGTTCAGGATCAGCAAACATGGAACCTTTAAAGTTTCTGAGGGTCAGGTTTATGGTTTCAGC